AACTGAGGCCTTCAGTTTAGCAACTTCCCCATCCATTATCAAAATAACACGAAAACACAGCGATTCAGAAGGTGTGAATCCTACCGAGCCTCAGTCCCTGCTTGTGCTTCTCCCTTGCCACCTACCCTTCGACCGAGGATTTGGTTGATGGCTGCGCTCTCTTTCAATGTGCATTCTGCTACAACTTTTGCTCTCATTTCCTTCATATACAACATAAATGCATTAAGAGGTTTCTTTATGTGTGGCTTCTTTTTCTCTTCTTCTTTTTTGGAGTCCTGATGTTTTCTGAAGGGTAAAGATATAACAGACAGAAACCTCACAGTGAGAACCCTTGTGAATCTATTAAATTAATCACCTCAATCTCTTTAGCATTAATTCTCAGAAATTAGTCTGTAGGAAGAAGACCGGAAGGTTCTCTAGAGCCTTCAACCTCGCTGCTGCATGAGACCAGTTTTAAGAGCATTATAAGAAAATCCATCTCAGGTTTAGGCCGTATCACCATGCACCCTTTCAGCCCCCTGAAGAACCTTGGAAGGACATGAGCACCCAGGAAAATGGTTTCATGGGGACGGCTTGTGACCGCGATGGTAGAGGAGAGAGTTACACTCCATCATCACTGGGAACTGAAATGCTGTCTTCCTGCTTCACCCGTGAAACGAAAGGCAAGAAGCACCAGCAGCACCAGGGGCAGATGTAGAACAGGGCTCTACTGGGTTCAAACCTAAACTTGATGCCAGCTCTCTCTGCAGCTTTGAACAAGCCATATATGCTCTGATTTACTGTCTCCTGTTGTGTAGCCAGTATCTCATGGCTTCAAACCGAGTAAGAGGGAAAACAGTCAATAAGCTTGAACCTTGATCTAGAAAATTCCACTTCCTTGTTGAAATGGGTGAAATTAATAACTACTTCTCTATGTCACAGAAAGCCTGTTACCCTTATTTTGACACACTTGGGTAGTTAAACCATGTTCAAATCAACTAGAACAGAAGAGAAAAAGCAATTTAAAAAAAGATTTTACAGTAAAAACATTCCCACAAACCCAAGCCTTTCCAAAAGCCACACATGCGATGCTTTGGGTGTTCTAAAAAGACAACACGGGAAGCAACAACTTACGAGCTGTGGAGTGAGCCGACGTCACTCTGGGAAGATTCCTGTTTGACTGTTGGTGTGACTATGGCCGGATGAGGGATTCCAGTTGTATGTAAACTATGGTGTGGCGGGACCATGTGTGGAGGAAACCTAGAGGAGAGAAAGCTGTGTAAATCGTCAGAATAATAATGAATGAATGGGGAGGGATGTGTACACACATTAAAAAAAAAAGGCATATAACAAGCACATGACAGCTAGACAAAGCATATGAAAGCTGGCAGCATTAATTAGCAATAAATTAAACATAATGACTCTTCTAATGTCATTAAAGCCAATCTTCCCCTTCATTATCATTACTGACATGAGACATCATGATTTTTAACATCTTTAACAAAAGGCAAATTCAACTGGACGAACTTGGATGAAAGTGGAATTTCAGCCACCTGCAAGAAAATCCACCAGTCCATTTCTTTGCTAAGAAATTATCTGTGGCAACCAAGGAATCAATTTTTAAGGTTCTGAATCATGTTGTGAACTTGGGATGACATCTTTTGTTGCATATTGACAGCAAAATAAAATATTAATGCCAACACAATCTAGACGCATTTTTGATAATCCTTATAGATGCCTCATTAGCTACATTTTGTTGATGGAGCAAAAGAAAATATTTATTTGTGTCTAATAAATCTCTGAGCCATGTGGCTTTAACAGAAGGTGGGAAGATTGTGGAATTAAGTCAATTTCGACCCATTAAGGTAACCCAGGAAGGCTTAAATTCATGCAAAAAAACAGCCTAGCCTTTCTAATGAGAAAAAATGTTGTCAGCTTTATGGTTTATGGTCACATACATGGACAGGCCCCGGTCCTGCAACTGGATTCATAGGGATGTGCAGTCCTTCTGCATGAATCCAATTGCTCGGTCGAGGCCACAGCACAAACATGGCACAGTCGTTCAGACTTTTTATTTTTTAACCAGAGTGAACACACTTCTCAAAAGCAGGACTGAGTTCTCATCATTACTTCTCAACAGTCTCAGACAGGCTTTGCAGTGAATAAGGAAAGCACACTGTCACCGACTGCCTTTGCCTTAGAAAACCCCCACTGAAGCCAAGAGGTTTCCTGAGAATGGGACCTAGCCTGAAAGTTTGGTTCAAAAATAACTTCCCCAAAAATCCAAGGCTAAAGCGATTATGGCAAATAACCAGGTTTATTATCACTGCAAAACCCTACTTTCACCCCAGATTTTGAACCATTTTTGTCCAAATAAAGTACCCCGAGAACATGGAACACACAACAGGATAAAGAAGTATTTCTTCTATCATCAATATACAATGATTTTTTCTATCAACTGGGATTTAAAATGGGGTGATATACCATGGATAAGTAGACTGTGTACAAGTATGAGAAATATAATAGGATTTCTTTATATTTCCCTCTCTTACAAATTCCATTACTGAGCTGAACCTTCCCCCTCCTCAACTGCCTAGACACTCCCTACATTCACAAGATGACACAGTAGTACTTTCATGAACAAGAGGTACTGTCCACCACGAGTTCTGAGGATCTTTGTCTATCAGCTGGTAGTACTCTGGATCATTAGACAGAAGTATTTTGTCTTTGAAGGCAGTGGTGGGAAGAGCAGGGACTGACAGGGAGAATGTGAAATTGTTGGACCTGCGGAGAATTGAGGCTCCTACAAACAAAGGCATGGAGAGAAGGAAAGGAGGAGGGAGTGATGGTAAGGGAAGAGGAGAACAGGCAGCAAAATGGTCATTCCTCCACAGGTTTCTACTTCTGCTAAAAGACCCACGGACACAAATCTCCAAGCGGATTGTCAAAATGCCTTGCCTGCTCTCTGACAAAAGCAGGTGGGAGAGCAGTGCACGTCTGGGGAAACGCTTTGGTGCATGGTAGCTCAAAAGAGAAGACAATGGCGAGGCTGCACAGAGACCCTTGTCCTGGTCCCACTAGCGCCACAGAACTGCCTCACCACCAGCAGGACACAAACTGGGCCTTTGTATTCTTTTATTCTGCTCTACCTCTCTCCATTCTTGGTGCGTGTGTGTATTTTGGTTGGACATATTAAAATTTGTTCACACAGTGCCTGGAGCGTTCAGCCACAGTGCAATGCAAACAATGAAAACTGACAGTAAGAGCTTTCTTTAAAAAAATAGCTTACAAACACGGGTGAAAATAAAGCCCATGGCAAAACTTTGACCCCACTGAAAGTGGTCTAAGCATAGTGATAAGAAGTTGACACACATCCTATTGAATGATTGTCTGTCCTAGGCAAGACCTAGCGTTGAAGAGAGGGCTAGCTAGGGTTCAAACTGGAACAAGAGCCAGAGACAACAGGACAACGAAAGATGAAGATGGAGATGAAAAGCCTACCTTCAGAGAGCAGGCAGGAAGAGCTGCACTTGTCTGACAGGAGGACACAGTGGGAAGGGCAGTGGGCATACACCAGCAAGGAAGAAGAGCTGAGTGCAGTGGTAGCACAAGGACAGAAGGGTATGAGAGTAGACCTGAAAAAGGTTACCCTCATCACTGGAGAAGGGCTCCCAAATATCACAAAAGACTAATTACAGCTGGAGTTAATAGGGGCAAAAGATGGTGTTTGTTAAGTTTCTGAACAGGATCCCGCGATGTGACCATGATAAGTAGGTCATCAACTAGCTTCTCAAATAAGGATCTGGTCAAAAATTAAGCACACGGAAAAACAAACTCTGGCTATGTGGTGGATTGTTGTACGGTCAGGATCTTCAACAAAAGACAGGGGGTTATTTTGTTTATTTTGATGAAGATTTAAGTACCTCCAGCTAATAAAAAATGGAGAAGGGTGAAGAAAATCTGCAAAAAAATGTAACTTCCCCCCTCAATTATGAGAAAAATGTTTCCCAATTAATGTTCAGAAGAAAGAGAGTAAGTATTTGCGCATGGGAGAGTGACTAGCTGGCAATGAAGGGCAGCGGAGGAGGAGAAGACTACATACACACATTGTGTGAAAGCCTGGCTGTAACAAGGATGGCAAACGCTCCCCTGACTTCAGCTGCCATGAGATTTTACCCACCGAGCTCTGAACTTCAGAGATACGGCAGACTTCGCCAACAGGCGGCTACGGCTCACTAGTTATTGCTGGGGTGGCACTTTCCCCAAGGAAGTTGTGTGCTCGTTACCAACGACCATTCATTATTTCATACTGAGGAACTCTCCCCTCAAGACACAAAGCTGCCTATAGGACTTACGCACTCCTTCCTATGTTTGGGGCTATAAAAACAAGCTCCAGGACTCAAAGTCACTCACACCATCCCGTGGACTTCAGTGGGCTGGGTGGGGGTTCAGCTCAAAGTCCTAGCGCCCGTTTATTTCCATGTAGACATGCGCTCACACAGCAGTACGAGTGGGGGAAGAGTGTTAATTTTTAAGTTCCTGGCTACACTCCAACTTCAGTAATTACATTCAGCAAAAGTGAATTTCCCCTGAAATTTCAATTACAGAAGGTATTTTCCACTGCCACCACTTAACTGCTGTGCAGTGTTTGTCTGGTGTAATTCTGTTAAATTATTTCCTGATTTCCTCTCGCAGCAGTTGTTTTTTCATAGTGTGTCCACTGTTTGCCCATCAGTCAGTTAACCCTGTCTCAATTTACATTAAGGGCATATTATAGAGGGGTAATGAAGGATCAAGAGCTGTTGTAATCATGTTGCATGCGTCAGAAGTTACTGGGGTGATGCTACAAGCAGAGAAAAGAGTTGCAAATGGTTAAAACAACCCGAAGACACTACCTCTATAGTCTAAACCATTTATGAAAATCACTATTAGTCACCCATTAACCTTTTATAAACTATTCATAAGCACACTCTAACTAATGACTGTAATTACTAAGCTTAGGGAATATTCTGGGTTGGGAAGCATTATATGCTCCAAAGGTCTATACCATAATGCATGCAAAGACAGGAACCACTTTGACAGGAAGGCTCTGGAAAAACGCGGATGGAGGGGTGAGGCTGGGGTCTGCCCTGGCTTCAGCGTTTGGGCAGAGCCAACACAGGGACCCCCCAGGCCCCCGCCTCCCAGCTCCGCTGGCTACTGAGAGCCAGGGCCGTCCCACGGCTGAGCTCAGGCTCTCCCGCTGATACGGCGGGCATGAGAAGACATGCGTTGCACCACGTATCAGAGCACGGTCTGCCCAGAGGGTGTTCCCCTGTATGGGAAACCAGGAGAGAAGTTTCTGGGCTGCAACAAAGGATAAACATCTTAAATCTATTCACCCGTCTGCGTGTGCGCCTGAGCATGTGTGCATGTATGGGCGCATGTCAGAGACAAAAAGAAAGGCTGCGTGTGTGCATGCACACCCCTCACCTTTGCCTAAGACATCCCCCCATATATTTTTCTCTAGACAAGTATTCCATGAATTGCAATAAACACCCTAAAAATTCTAAGCAGCTCATTATACACCACTGTCTCCTTTTATGGCTCCAAGCCAGAATATAATGATGAGTCTTAACTTGTTAAGGACAACTAATTTTTTGTTCCTGGCTGTCTCAGGGGCTTCTCTCTTACTCACTCTCACTTTACTTCACTGTTGACATGTTTCTGTTAACTGGATGTCATCTGCCTGCCTTGATTTTATGCACAAGCAGTGGGATGCATTTTTCTGTGCAACAATTCTGCTTTGAGTTGCATTAGATTTGTCATTATTCTCTCATTTTCCCCTTGCACTTGTAACATTTCATCTATTCCTGCCTTATTTTTTGAGCCACGGTGCACCCACATTATGGTTTATACATGATCTTGCTCCCTTTGAAGCCGGCAGATTTCAGAGCCAGCCCTCGTCAGGAGAAGTGCCTGCTACCAATTTAGCAGGCTGAGGGCCCCGAGCTCCAACAACTCAATCTAAAGGGGGTCACAGGGTGGCACAAGCGAGTGTCAGCAAGTGCTGTTTAATTGCCAATCTAGGCTTCTCCATGGTGTTTAAAGTATAATGACCCATCACTTAATTCTGAGAAGTCCTGGCCCTGCTGCTGAATGGAATGAATATCAAAGGATGTGCTAGAACAGGGCAAGGAGCCTACATTTCCTATAACTGCCATAAGTATAATAGACCTCTACTTCTGTCGTCCCATTACCACAATAATGTATTTAATTTGCTGTGTACTCTTTTTAACTAGATACCTTTCATAAAGCCTATCTTGGGAATATAGCCTCCCCCCTCCCACATCTCCCCCCTCCCTCAAATGACTAGCCTCTCTAATAATAATTAAACTAAATCAAGCTCTACTTTGCCTCACACCATGCCTGCAAGTCTTTTATAGATATTAAAAAAGATTAAATGGAGGGAGGGAATCATTGTTTAAATTTCCAGCTCTCTCCCCAACCCAGGATTTTTTCTCCCCCGTGCTGGGTCTATTGATTTATTTTTTTTTTTTTAAGTTGATTTTCCAGTTGTCTCTCTCTTTGCTGAAGCAATGTGGGTAAATTTTATTTTTTTGCTTTTACTCTACTTATCTAAAAGTACACCACACACTATTTCCCTACCCATTCACTCACAGGCTCTAGTTACAGGTTTCCATTTCTCAGCAAGGTGTTTTTCCCCCCAACCCCCTCCCAATCTCTTCCTCCTTAAATCCTCTATACACCAGCCTTCACATATCAAACTGCAGAGATGGAGAGGAAGGGACAGAGCAGGGGAAGAGACGTGGAACCTTGCTATGTAATGCATGCTAATTTAATTATGTGCCATCATCAAAATGGATTAGCTGTTTCAGCCCATCAGGAAAGTCTAAACCTCCACCGATTTAATTAACCAGACTGAAAATCAGATGAACAGAAAATAAAACTATCATTAGGAGCAATTAGTGATTACTTAAACATAGTGCTGCCAACCAGTTTGTAAATAAAACTAGCAGCCCCTGGAAAATTAGATGGAATTAATTGGAGGTAGGGAGGGGGAGAAATATATACTTCTAAAGCTTCAGAGGGTCAGGCAGGCCCTTTCATGTTGACTATCAGTGTTTGGAGCTTTGGTAGGGGAAAACATAGCGCAATAACCTTCCTCCCAACTCTGCTTGAAGAGCAGCCCTCCTCCCGCCCAAGCCTCCCCTCTCGCACACAGAGCGCTGCTCTGGGTGACAGCCACCAAGAAAGCAAAAGGTGTCACGACTTCTCCTCCTTGCTTTTTCAACATCCCATTCTCCCAGCTTTTTCATTTAGTTTGGCTTTCAAAGAAGACTTCCCGCTCCTCCACCTCTCCCTCAAATCCAAATTCTTCAAGCCCCGTGACAGCACTAGGACACCCTCTTCTCCTCAACTGGGAAGGCACCCCTCATCCTCTCCTCCTCCGTCCCACTGAAAAACTAAGGGTGACTGTTTGACTAAAGTGCTGTCAGAAATAAGCTTCCCAGATGAACTGCCCTCCTCTAGCGAGGGCGGCAGGAGGAGTTACATTTGTTCTTGAGTCAGCACCTCAACATTTGAACTCACCTTGACATGGAAGCATTGACGGTCAGAGCTGTTGGGTAAGGGTGGCGGAAACCCCCTGTCGTGATTGGGTACACTGGCTGACCTTGCCTGGCAAAAAATAAGGAGAGAATGAGAGAAAGAAAAAAGGGGTTTAAAAAAAAAACCACAACAAAAACTTCTCTCTGCACAGTAAGCTTTATTCTCATTTGATCAGAACAAAAATCTTGGGGATTGTACAGCAAGGATCAAAGGAAAGAAACACAGAACAATTTGAATGCCATAAATCTGATAGGAATGGCTAATTAAATTTTATAACCTCTGCTTATGTCAATAGAGACCCTCTCCCCAAGCTGAAACTAGGTGTTTTGTTGTAATAATTAAAGGCGAAGTCTCGCTTGCTTTAATGGAGCCATCACACTAATTGAGGGCTACACATCCAAAGGAAAACAATAATGAATGTAAATTTATACCAAAATAAAGTACAGTGAATCAAAGGACTTCAGTTGCGCTTTGGGCCTCTTTCGGTATTTAGATCTCGGTGAGAAAACATTAAATTAACAGAGCTTAATTTGTAGCCTTTTGTCAGATTAACAAGTGTTGACAAGAGTTACCGGGGGAGAGTCCCCAAGAAGTATTGTGGGTAACCAATAGACAATCACACCTCATTACAATAATTAAAAAATACAGCAACATGCAAAACAGCATCCTCATGAAAGACACACAACTTTTTCTGATTGAGATTTGTCTGTGCTGGCTAGTTCTTTTCATCTGTCCTTCAAATATATCATCTGACTGGGCAGGATGCTTGCTGGGGGGGTACTATGCTAGAGACAGGCAGGCCAGTTGAGGATAGATGGGTTGGGAAGTTGATGGTGAAGCAGCAGTGGCAATGAGAGAGGAAATAAAAACCTTGGGTTACTTCTGCAAAGTTGGCCATGCTACTCTCCTAGAGCAAAAGCTAATCTGATGGTATCACCCCTCAACTAAAACCACTCGGAGAAGCTCTAAGAGCTGTGGGTAGGGAAGTACACCTTGGGTGTTGACTTCTTCTAAACGGGCAGTGATGAAAGTCTTCCTGCGACAGAGGAGGCCAGGAGCACCTCCCTGATGGAACTGGCCACACGTGGCAACAGTTGTGTGGTATGGCAGCCGTGACATGGGGCTCAAGGAGAACAAACCTATGTCTGCACGCATGAAGACGTAAGGCTCCGAGACACAGAAGTGCAACGAGCCACAAGTCTGAGACAGCAAGGAATTTCTTCCCTATGCTCTCATGTCTTTAATGTTACTGACTTTTGGCATTAGCCGAGTGTACTTGTTTTAAATGCTGAGGCTGTTACTGCGCAAACTTGAGCTAAGCAGTTGCAACAGAGGAGCATGAGTTGGCTGTGCTGCAGCTAGACCCTGGAAGCAAGAAAGAAGAAAAGAAGCTGGCGTGTGTTCTACCAGCGTTCAGGGTGTCATACGTAAAGAGTAAATCACCACAAAAGCGGAGGAATTTAAGATTTCAGGGGGCAATGCTCTGGGTTTTTGTTCTCCTCATGCTATGCTCTTCTGGAGAAACTCCAGCCTTCTGCAGAGAGCTGATGGACATGCTTCACCCTCCGAATGGGACAGCCTCTACCCAAGCACGTTGCATGACCACCCTGTGAGGAAGGACACCCTGCAAAGTGGTCAAAAGCAGGCTGCTGAGGCCAAGGTCTGAGCTCCTGCTCTCCTTCACCCACACCTCTGCACGTGAGGAAGGCCCCCAAAGCCTTCGACGCCAAGCCCTGTCCCTGCCCGAGCCCTGGGTGCACACAGGGACCCCCAGCTCTGCCCCACTCTCCCACAGAGCATGATCTCCACCTCCTTACGGAGGGCCAGCTTGCGGAGAAGTATTTTAGCACAGCTGGCCAAACCACCTCGAGCAGGAACAAACTATTTCTAGCTTTGGGCAACTCACTTCTAAAGAAATATGGTCTCTCTAATACTGACAAGGCCTGTTATGTGAGAAAAATAAGGTAATAACCTTGACTTATAACGCAGAGAACCGTTGTATCCAGCAATACAAATGTATTTTGTAAGTATTCAAATAAAATATACTTTACAAAAGGCCTAGGTAGTGCCTAAATGAATTATAAAGCCATTGCAGAGATGGCAACATAAGAAAAATAAAAGAAAGTAAGGACTCCATTACTGAAGGGAACCTCATACCCAACAAGGCTCTGCAAGTGGGATATGAGGAGCTGAAAAGAAAACAAACCCCCAAACTAGCTTTCCACGGCTCTTTTTTCTTAGCCAGTTTCAAAGTAAACCAATTCCTCTTTCTTGTTTGCAAGAAAATTCCATTCCTCAGATGCCAACTGCCCAGCCACGTCTTGACCAGGAATGCTGCTCACTGGCCGATGTAAAGCTCTACTGTTTCTCAAGAAAAACGGAAGGGGTTTCAACGAGGAAGGCCAACGAAATTCAAAATTGCGCATTTATAGTGAGTATGGTCCTGGTAAAAAAGAGTCCATGAGAATCACCCCGAGCCACCAGAAAACAAAACTTGAGAAAAAACCCCACATGGTGCAGTGTAAGGGCATTAACAAGAAAAGGATGTTTCTGCAGAAGGTTTAAAAATTCATGCTTCATGAGCCACCAGCTGGTTGAGATGACATGCAAGGTTGTGCCCAACTGCTCGTGTTTCTTTAAGACCACATGACCTGGCATAAGTTTTAATTAATCTTCATGAGGTGGGTAAATTCATAACCACTCAATGAAGTGGCAGTTGGGAAGCAGACTTATCTCAAGGCACACGCACGCGCACACACACACAGATACATACAATTTTTAACACAAATTTTACGCAGAAAAAAGAAAAAGGAAATTAAAAAAATGGAACTCCTTACTGTGGTACTAACCATCCTAGCGGATGGGGGATTTGTCCTACGGTGCCCGGTGATAACGGATAATAAGGAGATATATCTGGAGGATGTGGAGGCCTTGGAATTCCTACAGAAGAGGAACATAAAGCAGCGTTAGTATTGAGACCTGGAAATAAACAAAATATAAGGAAAAAGCACACGTTTTGAAATTACTATTTATTGCTTTTTTCTTACAATACTCATGGCTTCGCTTTGGGTTTCCAAAGGCTGTTTCACAGTCTTACCTTATGAAATGAGCCTCTTGGCATCTTGTTAAACCAGATTCAACCAGAAAAACTGATGTGATTCGTTCCCTCAGCCACCTCTCCAATCAGAGATAATTATTTTGTTACTTAGGATGAGAATTTAGGTGTCTCAGCTATAGTTTTGGTGTGACGCTGTGCTAGGTGCTGTTTGAAACGCCCAACACAAAGATGGTCCCTGTACCAGCTTCACAGTTATTTCAGTCTCAAAGTCATCAAATGAGCACAGGCCCTACCCATACTTTGCCTGCGTACTCAACAGCATGGCATTATTCCAAAGGAACCTCCAAAATGAGCTACAAAGTCATTATAATTGCAAATGATGTTTGCTTCTGAGCAAACCCAGGAAACCTTCCCGAGACCTAGGAGACAACCCCTGGAAGGGCTCGCTAAGACGGGGGGCAGACGTGCAGGGGAGGTCAGAGAGCCCATCCATCCTCTCTGAAACCGGTGCAGTTCCTACTTGGGGAGCAGAAAGCAGCTTCAAACACAAGGCTTAAATCTTCACACTCCTTACCTTAAGAGCAAGTAGGAATTACACAAAGGAGTAAGGGTTACAAGACTGGGTCTTTCAATTAACAAGCCAGAGCACAATTATACAGCAGCAGCAAAATTAAAACAGAGGGCATTAAATGGAAAGGTACTGTATTCATGGCTAAAAACTATTTTTTTAAGTCATTCAGGAAGCTTTTAATCTCTAAATTAAATCTTCTTGTGTGACATTTTCATGCAGACATTGCTTTTCCTCCATTACAAAACCCAAACAGATTAACTGGGCTTTAACCACCGTCGAGCTATTTGCACACTTGAAAGAATGTTCACAGCAGAAAAGTAAACAGTCCACAGACGTTAATCATATGTTTTACGATAACCATTTAAAAGCTATTCCCTGTACTACCATTATTTAAATGAGAGGCTGACTATGCCATTCACTCGCAATATACCCAGGGATGCCGAGATGGATTCCTTTTAAGCCACGTGAAGTTAGTGTTAAGCACAATTAAATGGGGGCCCAGTTGAAGCACAGGGAATGAAAACCAGCTAATGCACGGCCTCATTCAAGGTCTGGACTTTAGATAAACTATCTGCATACGTTAGGGCCGACACAGAGCAATTCCTTTTGACGCGAATTCAGTTTCTGATGTACATTCCAATTAACTAGCTGTGATTTGGACTAACAAAAACAAAACCACTGTCACCAGGATCTCAGTGCAGCCCGAAGAAAGAAGATTGACACTGTTTGACTTCTCCAGGTCCTCAGGTTAAACACGGACTCTTAAAAAGTTAGAATAACATGTAAATTCTACTCTGTAACACCAATAAATCTAGTCGGGGTGTTACACGGTGTTCTATATTCAAGAAGACTGCCCTTCAGGCTGAACTGAGAGGTGGGTAGACTTACATTGGGGAAAAAGAGCTGCAAGTATAGAGCTGGGGCTAAGTAGTTAGAGTGGATGAAAATTCAACATTATAGGAGAAAAATGGCTGAACTCCTGACACAGAAACAATGGGATTTGGGGAATTAAAAGAGATTCATTTTGAAACTGGTCATGACCCACCACCTTTAAAATTCCAGCTGCAATTTTGTAAGTGCAGATCACAGAAGGCACATGTTTAACTCTCCGGGTCGCGCATGCACACCAAGCACTCGGTAGATCGAACTGCTAGGTGGGGTATCACGCTTGCAAAGGAACACACCTGCGAGCAACCCCACACACGCAACTCCAGTGTCACCCTGCAGAAGCTCTATGAAAATTCACCCAGTAGGTGTTTCTTCTGAAGCCTAATTGGCTCAAAAAGTAGCTATTTTGTCCGTGCTCTTGCATGTGTGTGGCATTTTACATGCCCCCTTTGGTGCTCCAGCATGGGAAATCCTTCCTCCCGCACTCTCTCCCTCTAATTCACCAAACAGAAAGATCCACCCACCCGCTCTCAAAAAAAAAACCCAAACTACTTCCCACCTACCTGTTTTGGGATCTACGTCGGCTGGTAAGTGTGGAGGAGGGTTTCCCGGTGTGAAGTGCTCATTGCTGTACGTGATAAGCGGCGTAAGAGGGTGTACATGGTGTGGGTGCTGCACAACTGGCACTTTGTTAGACTGTCAAGAGAAAAAGGTCGACGGCGTTAGAGGAGTGCTGGGTACTCCCCGCTGCCGTGCGAGGCGCGGCACACAGAAATCTGAGCACCCCGGATTTCAACACGATCCTCAGACTTTTCCAGATCCCTTCTTGGCATCACCCTTGCAGCATTCCCACCCTCTTGCTTAAAGCCTCCTCACACGCTTTCCCTGCTCTTGAGTGCCGTTAATCTTTTTGACCCGTCGTACTCCTGCATGGAGCAACAGCAATTCTTTAAAATTTTCCCTTTTCATTTACTAATCTCGTGCTTCACCTCCAAGATGCAGGCAGACTCCTCAGTGAGGGGCTGGCAGAGTCCCCCGTTTAATTAGCACGAGACCCAAACGCTCACTGACCTGCAGGTCTTTGCCTTTCCCCTTCCTCCTCTCACTTTCAGTTCTGCATTTTACTGCTCATTGCAAATACTCCAGATAAAAAGCCTTTGTAGTGCTGGAGTATTCCCTTCATCAGCAAGCATTAAGCTGACAAGCGATCACCTGCATATTTTATATATATATGTTTTAGAAGAGCTGATTAATTATCAATTCATCAGAGAGCGCTAATAAATGGAAACTGGATACTGATGAATGAGGCTACTAAAACATTCAGCTATATAAATAATGGCAAAAAAACAGACAAAGCCATTGAAATCAACAATCTTGTGGGGGGAATATGCACGCAGATAACACGAGGTTTTCCCCATCACATTCCTAGCTCGGGTGGGGGGGTGGGGAATAAATTTTTTTCTTAACAACAATAAAAAAACCAGAAGAGTGAATGAAAGAAAGGAAAAGGCAGGCTGAACTGTAACTTACCCTTACAAGATCACAAAGGAAAAATTAAGCTGAAACAAGCGAACTGCTGGACCATTTACTGTGAGTAATCCAATTGCAAAAAACCCTATTCCCCATAGAGGATTTTCACTAAAATCCTACAACAGGGACATTTAACCAGATTAGGTACCAGCAAAGATAAAGAGGCTGGTATTAGATGATGAATGGATTAGAGTCAGGTTTCATTTTAGAATGTGTCTTCATTTCCTTTTATTACTTTAAGTAAGGAACAACTTGCATTAACATCAAGTAAAAGGAATCGCATTAAAATAAAGTGGTGATACGGCGGCGGCCCCCGATAGCACCGCTGCCGTTGGGGCTCCGCCACCCCTGCCCCAGCACGGCTCCGACCCCACCGCTCGCTCCCCAGCACCCCCAAACACACGCGCTCTCGCCACGCCACTTCGGCCAAGTTCTTATCGGATCTCGGCTCGAACGCTCCGAGCTTCCCTTTAACGCATTTCATGGATAATTCAGTTATTTTTTGGGAATGAGTTTCTAGACTGGGGGGAAGGAAGAGCGAAGACAGATTGAGGGCTAGGAAGGAAAGCAACATCAGTCTCTCCCCCAGAAAACATGAAGTCCCTCCATCATGCTTTGGTCAAGACACAGCAGAG